GGCCGCTGGATCCAGCCTGGTACGTTTTCCTCTAACAGAATTCTTAGTTTACCATCTGACGAAACACCTGGGAGGACTGCTGTTTCATCTCCTGACAGAAGGAAAAGTCTTCCAAAGACAGGCTTACTCCCTTCCCTTCTGCACTGCAGTGCAGCAGCAGCACAAGGCCAGGCCCTGACTACTCGAAGGTGAAACCATTCTCAGGTAGGTTGTACAGATGCTACAGACACCAACTTTGCTTTCACCACCACAATATGACATACTAATGACTTGCCACTTTTCATGCTGCATAAGCATACACTTTTTCCTGATTACGTTTAAATGGAGTTAGGAAATACTAGAGTCACAAATATGTTGTGTACATTTAATCATATCTCTTCACTTTCCAAATAATGCTTTCATGTTAGAGTACTATTAAGCTTTTATTAAAATCACAGCAGCATCACTAGGAATCAAGTAAGTGCACTTGGTTTTACAACGTTTTTATTAGATTAGAGTTAGCATGGCTTCCTATTTACTTGTGATGATGGGAAAAAGAAAATTCTAAGCCTCCCCCAAACATCACAGAATCATAGAATGGCCTAGGCTGCAAGGGACCTTAGAGATCATCTAGTCCAACCTCCCTGTCATGGGCAGGGACGCCTCTCAACTAGATCAGGCTACTCAAGGCTCCGTCCAACTTGGCCTTGAACACCTCCAGGGAGGGGGCAGCCACAATATCTCTGGGCAATTTATTCCAAAGTCTTGCCACCCTCGTACTGAAGAATTTCTTCCTAAGGTCCAATCTAAATCTATTCTCCTTCAACTTAAACCCATTTCTCCTTGTCCTATCAGTGGACACTCTTGTAAAAAGTCCCTCCCCAGCCTTCCTGTAGGTTCGTTCTTATTTCATGTTGTTACAGTAACACTTGGTAAAAAGAAACATTAATGTTGCATTGAATTAAGGCAGTAAATACAGTAAGCATCGCCACTGAGAGAACAAATCTCACATTCTACTTTTCTTCTATTGTCCTAAGACCATCCAAAATTAATTGGATCTGAAACATCATACTAACTGTGGGGCTTCAAAGAGATAGGATCAACTTGTAGTGATTGGGCTGTGCTTGTTCATCCTCTTCAATTTGTCCTTTTACCAAAAGCTAAGAGAAGAGGACCAAGATTTGCTTCACAAGTGATAAAAAAGTAGGTGACAGCTCGTCTGGTATGGTAGTGAGATGAAAATGCCCCTTTATGAAAGAACAAGCAATAAGACAAGAGTATTCATTGTCTGAAAGGCAGCTACTTTTGGAAGACCAAACCTCCTGTAAAGGTAGTGTCAAATTATGTGACTGAGACTATTGACACATCAAATAAAGTGTTTGGAAGAAGGAGAGAGAACTAGGCCAAGAAAAATAATGCAAGTAGTATCCTAGAAAGAACACAAAGTTAAAACACCTCCCAAAGCTAGTATATCTGTAGCACACACAGCTCTGTCCTCCACACTTAATACTGGGTAGAGTGCTGAAAACTATCCTCATCTGGACTGATATAAAGCAGGATCACTGAGAAGGGAATAAGAAAATTGAGGACTAGACACCTCTGAAAAAATGAAGAATCAGAACCTGATATTATGGCACAAGCTATAAAACTATGACAACTTTAACTTTCTTTAAAGTGAAATATGTATTTCAAGAAACAGTTTACAGGACATGGACCCAAGAGCTACTCTTCTTTAGGAAATCCTACTAAAACCTGCAAAATATATGTACACAAAAATATAACAGTATTCAGACTACATCTGGTTTCCCCATAAATCCAGCTAACAAATTGTGCTATCCATTATGTCTGCATTATCTTGAGAAATCATTCAATGCATCTTCACACAGTATATTTTGAGATCCCGATCCAGCTTTTGGTTGTACTGATTTTACACTCAGAGGAAAAGAGAGTTACTACCCCGTTATATTTGTGTCAGCAGCAGCACTATTGGGTCCTTCTAAATTCAAATTCTGTCAGTGTGTAGCAACACCTAAGATCAGTTTAGGTATCTTCAAGAGTGAAAGGAGAGTAATGAGATGAGTATTAAAACAAATACAGATAAAGTAAAAAAATATTTCTGTTCCACGAAACTATGTCAATCTTCCATTTCAGAACTGTGAGATATGACAGTGATGAGAAACAGGGAGAGGCTAAGAAAAAATGAAGTGCTAGAAAACAGTATTTTGCATCAAACATATGACAACCCAAAGATATAGAAGCAAGAAACTCTCAATTCTTTCAATATAAATTAAAAACAAGTATACAAAAAATTAAATGCTTACCTGGGACAATATAATAGACTTCTCTCAAACAGCATTAGCTTTAGTGCTTGCTGTTGTAGACTCTTTAACCTACACATTCCATGAGACCCCAAAGGAACAGCTCTGTTTACCTTTAAAACCATGTACCAGGTCCCTTCTATTCAGTTAGCAATGGTGACTGTTTGACCTGAAACTCTTCAGCTGATTGGAGATCCTATTTGTCAAGTTACTTTAAAACACTTCTGCTCATTTCAGCAGACTCTGGCAGACCCATCTGCATGGGGATTATTCCCTCTGCACAAGCAAATATCAGTGTGCCTGCAAGAATGTTTACAGTGATATTTGGTCTGCTCATGCCTAACCATAATTTATTCATGCAAGAGTAAGTATTTTTTCATCAATCAGTTCCCAGTAGGTTCTCTTCTAGAAAACAGGACAGATGACCGAAATCATTGCAACAAGCAGCAACAAAACAAGGTGTTGGAGAGACTAGGAGTAGGGTTGTTAATTTTCAGAAAAGTATCATAACAAATAAAGTAGAAAAATCCAAAATGTTTTAAAATAAATAAATAAACAACCTTCTGAGAAGACTGTATTTTAAAAATGCAACAGGCTCAACTATTAAAAATGCATGGAAGCAAAATGATTCAAGATGTTTTGATGCTTATGGGGAAACTAACAAAAGCACTGGATTCAGAACTTCTTCCCACTGCTCTGATTACGGGATTCTCTTTTCCCTCCTCTTCTTTTTTGAATGTTTCTCCCAATTACTGCTAGATTTTTATTTGCATGAAAATCAGACCATTGCTCCTTGCTACTGAAGTTGATTCGCCACCTGAATATAGTTTTCTGTAGCTAAACCTTTAACTACCAGCTGTCATCAAAAGTTATAGATAATGAAAACAACATCAGGTTGTTGTCCAGTACCAGAGGAACTGATATGGATGCTCAGATGACACCCATCATAAAGAACTATGGTGCAAGTGTTTAGAGTTACAGGTGGCTAAACAGCAAGAGCATATGAACTCTTAGAAAGCAAAAGATCCTATTTTTATCCAAATATCCTTAGCACTGCTGTGTAAAAACTGGCAATCTCAGCTAGCAGAGATTCAATACATGTTTTCCTATTACCCATTCTATCCTGAAATACAGTGTTAAAACTTTGAAGAGAAAAAGGAATTCAACAAGAGTTCTCAAGCTTTGAGTCCTATAGGACTAATCTCACATAGCTCTGCAATAGGACTGACAAAGGCTGCAGTTCTCAGTGCTGTGAACTTGTGATCAAGCTCCTACAGCACATCAGGGCTCACAGCTGGAATGACCACACATGAGCCAATGCTTTGTCTCTGGCTACAGGCTCCCAGGGACTTCTCAAGTATATAAAAGTAATTGCTTCCACTTCCCTGCAAAGCAGGATCTCAGCTGGCTGGTAGTGACCAGGAGGGAAAGTTGATCTGTTATCTGCTTACATATGAATTTATATTTTTCTATTTGCAACCACAGAGAACCTTTTAAATTTTACAAATATTGTACACAGTGGAAAAAACAAATGACTGTCCAAGACTACAAACCTACTCCCGGTCCAAAACGATGGTAAAGCTGTAAAGAAACTGCTTTACAATATTATTCTCTTGGTTCTGCTAAATTGGCTCTGCTACTTAAAAGTTCTATGTTTGCTTCTGAGGCTGCAACACACTCCTTCTGTCTTCCTGCTAGCTTGGATGGGGCTCACTGGTGAGCAAAAAGACTCTAGAAAACACACAGATCGTCCTTGCTTTTTAATCCGTTACGGCATCTCCAAAGTCAGGTTTAGACTTCCACAGATCTTTCCACATAAAATGTAACGCAGAGGATCTGTCATTTCAGGAATCTGGTTTCAAGCATGATAAGCCTCAAAGCACACTTGAGAGCTAAACGGCTCCATTTGTCAGGAAATGGTTTTTACTTTGAGGCCTTCATCAGCTTCAACCAGCTCTTGAAATAGAACAGAAAAGATTTTGTTTGCTCAACCAGTCTAGAATTTTATATGATCTTTCACTATTATTTTTCATAAAGATTTTATAAACTTTCTTCCCTCCTTTTACAAACTGAAAGGGATCTTCAACGACTCAAAGATCCAGCTGGAATTTACAGAAACTTAAGAGTGGTAAATGCAATATGAAAGGTTATCACACAACTCTTATTATATACTAAAAATCTAAGATCTAGTTTTTCTTTCTTCTATACCCAAATAAAAATTACTTTGAATAAATATTAGGTCAAGTTGTCCCCATTCTGAAATAAAGTGAGAGTTTGAGGTGGGCTTGTTTTATTTTTTAAATATGCATGCCTTTTTTTTTTTTTGTAGTGGAGAAGTGCATACAGTACCTGTTGTTATTTTTATGCGATTCTTTGAAAGTTTTCATAAAGACAACAGGTTACCAGTGAAATATAATATCAGCTCATCAGGTTCCTCAGGTGCTCTTCTGCAAAGCTATGAAATAACAGTTCATCTCCTCCTTGGAGAAACCGAACACAAAATTTTCACATACAATCACCTTAAGGTCTTCCATCCTCTCCCCACAGCTTCACATCCCACCCAACCCTTCCATTTTGCAAGATTTATTTAAAAAAAAAAATAAAAAAAAAATAAATAAAACCAGTTTATAAAACAGCAAAGAAAATAAAGTTATTTTAATATATATAGAAAGAGAACAAAATGAAACTTGAGGGAAAACTTACTGGCGTTACAGTTTATCCTGATACAGTCTAGATGGGGAAAAATAAATGAAAGATGAAATTGCATCCTTCAAGGTAACAGCTGCAGACATCCAAAAACAATCAGTCCACCCTTCCGGGGACAGACACACGCAAAGAGATGTGGCCATTTTATACTTATATACAATCTGTACAAGTTCAGGAGTGGGTGTATATGTACAGTATATTCTACATAAATATCTGTTACATAAATATATATATATACACACATATATATATACACATATGTATAGAGAGATATACCAATATACATATATATCCACATGTTATAGAGCACAGAAAGCTATTTTCTTTCTATAGAAATCTATGCATCTAAGAGTATCTTCTACTCCAGACCATGAACTGATGTGAATTACAATAAAAAATGGATAATTAAGACCAAAAAAATCTCCCTCAAAATGCAAGTAATATTCCAGTGACATTTTGCTTTTTTAAAGAACTTCAGCAATTTCTTGAAGAAGCTTGAAGCTCAAAGTGAACCTTTACACCTAGTTTCTTTTGAATTAATTCATATTGTTATTGCATAAATACACCATCTGTCCAACACAGAATACCTGTAAAATCAGCCTATGAGGTTTGTTGGTGCAATATTTAACCCTTTCCAGCTCTCCCAAAGACAGACCCTCTTCTCATTCCCCCAATGCCAGCCCAGACACATTTGACACTGTCCATTCAGGTGAGGAAAGGGTTAATGTACTGCCCATTTGTGTTCTATCATAAAATGGCCACTTGCAAACAGCTAACCGCACGAACGCCCAGCCCAGATTTCAGCTAGTTCTGGAGGTTGGGAACACTTTTTAAATTTATTTTTTTTACTGACAGGGGGAATGGGGATTTCTTTCAAAGGTCCCCAGCCCTGCCAGTCCCTCAGAGCCCAATCTCGTCTTGCTGTCTGAACGCCAAGACTGAATGGGATGCTTGTAACGTTCAGGGAGAAGAAGAAATGGGCAGTGAAGTGGCAGATCTGGGAACCTTTGCTGGCCCTGCTTTGTTCAGAGGTTACAGGCAAGGAAAGGATGACAAGGGGTGTATGGAAAGAAAAATAGTGTTCTGCTTGTGGAATCTAGTCCATGGTAACTGAGGAATCTGCACAAAGAAAACAAACTGAGGTAGGAAAGCCTGAGCTAGAGGGCTTCTGAGCATTGCTTCTCTCATTTAACAAACTAATGCTCAGCATATCTCAGGAAACGACCCAGAAGAGGATCTCTTGTTTATAAATGCCTACGTACAGTCTTGTGAACACCCATTACTGTGGTGCCTGACATGGGCAAGAGCTATCATATCAGTGCTACTTTGGGTCATGCTGACCTCTCAGGAAATCAAGGCCAGGAATAACAGCACCGTTCTACTGGACACCTTGTCTGGACAACTAAAGCTTTGACCAGGAGGAACGACTGCATCTGTTAGAGAGATATGGCCCAGCGAGAGGGATTATACAGAACGACAGAAATATGATGCAGTTTGATGCTTAACTGGACAATTTTATGTTTACTCAGACAGATGTAGGAAAATTATTTCAGCATCTGAAACTAAATGCAGTTCTTACAAAACGAAAGAGGGGAAAGAATAAGAGTCTATAAATAAAGAGCTGTAATGAGTAGGACACACCAATCAGGAGCAGCATAGCCAGAGAGAGTCTGTTTTCAAGCAGAACTTCTCTTGAGAAAATCTGGGTTTGGTTTTGTGCGATTAGGTTTGTCATGTGTCGTCAACCGCAACAGAAAAGTGGGAGCAAACAGCCCTGGAGCAACTGGTACGATCACCATACAGTGGTGGCTATATCCCTTACAGGACTTGGGTGGGGTAAGGGGAGCTCTGAAGTACGTGCTGGGGAACTTCCCTCTATGACCTGATGGAGAGTGAGACTGAGAGCAAGAGCGAGAGAGACTCCCAAGCCTCACTGCAAGCAGGTGAGATCAAGAGAGTTGTTACAGCTGGAACAATAGGGGGATTTTTTTAAAGGCTAAACAGTAAGGGTGCTGGAAAGGGAAACATGGCTGGTTCTCGGTGACATTCATCAAAGTTAGAATCTAAAACCATCACTGTGTTATTGATGTCTGCAGAGAAGTTTTGCATTTTGAATTTTCTTGCTGTGATACTGAAATAACTCTATGTTCCTGGGCTTACCCTCAGGCTGAATCACTGACTACTCCAGGTGAAGGGATTGACATTTCAGACTGAAAGCCAATGTACCCCTTATCCTGCCTGCCAGCTTTCTATTTCAAAGGACAATGAGAGACCAGGCCACTGAGGGGGGTGCTCTGATAACTACCATGGTGCTATGAGATCCCCAGACTCTGTGATCACAAAGGCTCTGCAATGTCACACAACGGGGTGCCAGGTGGAAACACTCAAGCATGCTCCAGAAGAACCAGCTCCTGAACCAGACTTGGTCCAGCTGGGTCAGTGGGGATCCCTTATGGCAGCTAAGTGAGTGCATCTGCCTGTGCTGCTACACCAGCACTACCATGCTCTCCACATTACCTTTAAAGAACAAACATGAGGGTCTTTTGTGCATTCTCTCAATTCTGAACCTTGACCAAAGCAACCAAAAAAAAAATTCCAGTCATTAATACATGAAGCTGTTTTCCCTCTCTTACATCAGTTTTTAGAAAGGGGGAAAATACCTACTTTGCTCTAAACTCATACAACACTACGAATCCAAAGCAGAGGATGCTTTCCCTGGCAGTAAGGTGCAGATTTATCCTTGTCTTTGTGCTCAAAACAGCAGCACCTGAGGAATTCAAGAATAATTAAAAGTACTGCTTAGGATTCCTCCTGCACAGTAGCAGGGCAATAAAACTTCTGATAATCATCCTCTGGGGCTCTCAGCCCTGTTATCAGCTTCTCCTGACGAGTTTTACTTTATTTAGGTATGGCTACACTCCTGACTTGAAAGAGGTTTCCCCTTAATTTCAGTTTTGAAGACTGAGTATGCCTAAAGAGCTGTAAATCAGTCACTTTTGCAATTGCACCAGGAATCTGGAGGACAGCAGAAAAGTGAAAACACAGTCTGTAACTGCATGGGGAGCAGGATGAGCTGGGAAGAGACATCCTATAGTTCCTTTCTTTCATTATTTTTCATAATGTAAACTGGAAGCTGCTTCCTTAGTGTTCAGATGTTACATATTCCACAGCACATCACCTGGAAAACAGGCCAAAGACTCTCTTCTTGCAAAAGGTTAAATCGCTCCACTGCAATTAGCTAACACTAGAGATCAATCGTTTCGTTTGAATAGAGATATCTTCAGCAGCAGACAGAAATCTGCAAATCAGGCCTGTGTTCCTTACCATTTGTATCTTTATGCCTGAAAATAGTGGTATTTATTTGACATTGCTAAGGCCCCAGGCTGTTTATTCCTTGAATCAGAAAAGTCACCTTTGCTGTGTAAGGACAAAGTGTTTGTTCCTTTTGATGAGCATCCTCATGTGGTTATGAAAGAGCACTTTTAGGCAAGACTAGGACAAGAAAGATAATCAGGTCCTGGATGTTTCTAAGCTCCCTCTAGGTTATTTCCTGTGGGGAAACCAGATGAGGTCCTGTGCACACTCCTACCCCAGGTTACAGTGTGGCTCCTTGCCCCTCTCCTACTTGCATGCAGTCAGACTGTGTACCAACTGGGTAACTGGCAGCTGACAAACATTTTTGCATGTCTATAACAAAAAAAAAAAAAGAAAAAAATAAGGGCCTTTGTTTGTACTGGTAATAGCAAAGAAATTTATTAATAAGAAACAGTGTGAATGGGCATACAACTGCAGGTCTGAGTGTATGCTTTGCACAAAAGGAAATCTGGCATAAAAGTTCATGTGTTTAGACAAGAAAAATAGAATATGTGCCTGCTCTGTTCATGTGTAGGAATGACAACAGAAGCCTTACATTCACGAGAGGAAGAGATGTCTTTGTCACCCTTGAGTAGATTTTAGGAATAGATAGGCCAGAGGGGTGATTACACTTCCTTACAAGAGAACTGACTTAGATTAACAGGAGGCAGGAAGCATTTATTCTAGTCACCAGTGACCTGAAGATAAACCAGGCCAGGATAAAAAAAAACCAAAACCTTGACATAATCTTTAATAAAATCAGTGACACTACAACCTTCCCACTCATCAACGTGAGGAAAAACATGAAGGTGGGTCTCCCAATCGGACCAGCCATTTCTTTCCCTTTCTGCACATCTCAGCACCAGAAATGATTCCCAAGCATGTTCCAAGCCATGATTTGCTTTATTTCTCTCTCTCTCCTTGCGCTCTAGACTTATTTCTTCAGGCCCTTCTCAACAGAAGTGAGATCTGTATCACATGTGGACTTCTTCACACAACAAACACTCAAACTACTGTGAGATGTGCTGTCACCACACAGATTGCAGCACCTCAGGCACCCACAAGGGAAAGGTCTGAAGCAACTTCCTCGCCCCTCTTTCTTAGAGAATTATCCATCACTGCTCTTCCTTTCCCTCTCACCTTCTACAGCAAGCACCCAGCCGCCCGTGCCCACCCACACCCACTGGGGGATGCCTCTCTCCCGGTTTGGTTTGGACGCTGAGTGCTGAGGGAGTGAGTGGGATATGCCAGCCCCTGCAGGCTGCTCCGTACGCTCTGTTCTCAGGGCTGTTTGCTGTGCGGGCCGCAGGCTTCAGGCCTTTGAAGGGTTGAATACCATCTTTTGATTTACATGGCTGATGGGGTATGGGAAAGCTTTACAACTGAAATATAAAGAACAGTTTAAAAAAAAACCGAACAACCTGGAAAAGAAAGAAATAAAAGAAACAAAAAAGCATAGGAAAGACCTTAATAACCACATAAATTATAATAAGTAATCAAATGGAATAGATCAAAGAAGAGAAAAAAGAGACAGCTCTTAGCAATAATATTAAATGACTGATAAGAAAAGCACAATTAAGTAACTCACCACTCAAAACAGTCTTTGTTTGCACACATCTGTCACGGCTTAGACACACAGGGGGATGCTGACACGTAGCTAGTCAGCACTGAACAGACTCAAGTTTTCAGAAGTGCTGTTGCTGACTGTTTCTTGCTGGTAACGGGATTTTGGCAGGGTCAGATAACAAAGTCTTGGTTCTCATTGCTTTAATTTTGGCTACGAACAGTCTCCTTAAAGAGTTAGATGTCACTTACAGTAGAGAACTGAAAATGAGTGGCTCTAGTAAGGTCATTCTTCCTCAAATCCATTTCTTCAACAGCAAGGTAGTTTTGCCATTTTGACGGAAGTCAAGGAATATATCTGATAGCTTTATAAATCTGAAGAGAGGAGAGGTGAAGCTCAGTCCAGGTTCCAACAGTCTAAACTACCGTTCTGTTGAGTCGGGCATAGGAGAGTGCTGATGGGTTTCCACTGATGCAGCCTGTAGTCACTTTTGGGAAAGATGAAACCTCACAAGAGCTCCCAGCTAAAAAGCTGACAAATCTGTATACACATTGCTTCAGTCCCTGCAGCTACACATGAATAGCCTACAATTCTCTGATTCAATTAACACAGGGTTTGGTTTACAGATTTTGTCCCTGTATTAAACCATCAACCTTTCCAAACATGTAGACCATACATCAATTTATTTATTCTTTAGCCACATCTTTTAGATGCTGGCTAGTCAGAGTTGAAGAGTCTAGCTCTAGGCTATGTGATGGCCTAACTGACCCCAGAGAGCGTTGAAGTGAACAACACCAATCAGGCACAGTGCGTTGACAGACCCTGAGGGGAAAATATTGTCTGCCAGTATGATATAAGGAAAACTACAAAGAGTAAGCTGTAAAAAAAAAAAAAAAAAGAGGTATATTTAGGGTTAATCTAAATATGCCCTCCTCCTATTCACATAGGGTCTAAGTCTAGGAGGCCCTGAACAGCCAACTGGAGTAATTCCCCCTGTTCTCACTGATTTTAAAAGGAAGAGAAAGATACAACAAAATCAAACACGCAGTACCTTTCCCAGATGAAATAGTGATCGTTTTTTATGAGGTCTGGCAGTTTTCATGCTGTAGTATTTTTCATATGGGAGTATCAAAGGTAATAGAAGTAGCACTTACTAAAATACTGCTATTTGTTATTCAGTACAACACCTCAAGACCGGTAAGAAAATGGATTGATGTAAGTCTAATACCACAATCACTCCTGATTTTTTTTATAGTTGGACTTGCTTTTAGTTGTCTTCATTATTTTATGAGAAAGTTTAACTCTAAAGAGACAGAATACGACCCTTTGGGATGGAGGGGATGCACTTCTATTATTCTTGCCTTCATTTTAATAAACACACAATAAAAAACAATTTTATTAGAATTCTATTAGAAAATAGAAATAATTAGAAAAGTAATAAAATAAACCAATTTGTATCAGACACTGCCAAATTCCGTAAAGGGCACGAGATTTGCAGGACTTTTGCTTGCCATAATATCCATTCCACTTCCCTCCCACATTTGGCCTTGACTGTTTTGAGTGATGCTGGATGAATGAGGGATGTAACTGATCAAAAGATGGACCAAGCAGCATGTCTCACACATAGCTCACCAGTCCCAGACCAAGAAAGGAAACTTAAAAACTTAAAGACTTAAAAACCAACACTGTCCATAACGAAGAACTGACAGCAAATCTTCATGCAGCAACGCAGAAGAGAATTTCTCTCCGCATAAGAATATCATTATGAAGGTCTCAGCAGTTATTTTAGAAGTCAATCCAATCAAATCAACAGAAATTAAATAAAATTACTAAAAAAACCACTAATCACAAGCCCAAACTAATAGTGAAAGGGCAGTGGAAGGTTTTTATACGATACCTAAATTAACCATAAGTTTGACACGGCCTCCGTCCAGCTCCAGGCGCAGAGTGTCAGCAGAGTCTCGTGAGGTGGTTGCCATCAACAGCCCATAAGCACGCTGGGACATGAAACGGAAGGACACATCTTCTGCTTCTGTATGCATGACCATAGGCATGATGATCTTCATGTACATGCTGCCGTCATAGCTCAAGATAGAGGCCTCTGCAAGGAATCGGGAAACAATGACAAAAAAAAAAAAGAAGTTACATGTTTGTGCAATCTTCACTCCTGAAGAACTCTGACAGCTATCGTAGAGCACTGTGTATACAGAAGCCACACCACTCGCCACAGAAAGGCGTGTAACTGGGAAAAACACAGCAACCCAATGCGGCAAGTGTGAGCAGCAGACATAAAGACAGGGTATTCACCACAACTGTAGGCAGCAGTACCCATGGAGACACAATCCCCAAGGACAAACGTGTTAGCGCAGGGCCCTTTTGTGATAATGAGCTGGCAAAGCCTCTGTTTTTCACATCTTTGAGAAAATGCGATCTCCTCCATTAGTCCAGCCTTCCCTAGAACTAGCTGTAAGGACTACTTTAAACAACGTCCACAGCACTTCTACCAGAGCATTTAGTCTTGCCTTGGAAGGCTCAGAGTTCCTATTTCTGCTACTCTTAAGAGCAGTTGCTTATTTAGAGAGGAATTTCATTCCATTGCTAGAATTTTAAACAAAAACAACTGTATAAAGCAAGTTACCTAACAGGTCTTTTCTACATAAAATTTGGCTGGTTTGTGATTTTACATTTTTCCCCTCAGCTAACAACTAATGTTAGTAGAGCTCTGCTGACACAACTGATGGCACTACAGCGCAAATGAAGAAAGGAACAAATCAAAATCAACTGCAAGTTTCTCATTCAAACACAGAAAAAGTCAGGAGATGGAGGCACAACAAAAGCCAGGAGGAGAGAAAAGAAAAAAACAGCAGGGAAAGAAATTATATTTTTCTGTTATCTCTGAGGATGCCAAAGAAAATGGGAAGTTCAGTTGAGCAAAGGAATTACAGTACTTAACATTCTCTATTTGTTCAGGGTCTTGCCCCCAGAAACTGATATTATTCTCTAAGGAAGTAGAATTAAAGTCTTGCGATAGAAATGCAGCAACCACTACAGCATGGCAATCATTATTTCAGTCCAGGAATATGCTCCAAAGCATTTTTATCCAAAAAATTTACAAACCTATGTAAATATATCAATGTATGAATCAGTGTCCCTTCTCCCCACAGCCAAACCCTACCGAAGGCAGAGCTGTAGTGATTGTGCCATGGAGGACTTGCACCACAAAACTACCTGTAAATATCCCAGAGGTTATAGAAGACCAGTTCAGGTTCCTAGGCATACGGGAAGGATTGCTCCATAAAGCACTCTTACCAGTGCCTCATCCAGTTCAGCTACAGTTTTCACAAATGTTTGGGATTCTCACCAGGCACTCCACACAAAACCCAGAAAGCTTGCACCCCATCTAATTTAACCAACTGCAATAACATATAATTGAAATCTAGATGACTCTTTTTTTTCACCCTTTTGTTCCATATTTTCCAACCAGTCCACTCACGCTGACAGGAGCCGGACTTCTAGAGGGAAATAGCAAGCTTGGCAGAGGCAATCCTTACGTCCTCTCAGTGTCTAAATGTCAGATGCTAGAGTTGAGTAGATGGAGGAGAAACTGAAGAACAGCCATATACCCATGCTAGAAAGGACCCATTTGGTCTGGATGACCAAGTAGTGCGGTGTGTTGCTAATTGGTTGAAGGCAAGAAGTCAGAGAGTTGTAGTCAATGGGATAGAGTCCAGTTGGAGGCCTGTGTCTAGTGGAGTCCCTCAGGGGTCAGTACTGGGGCCAGTGCTGTTCAACATACTCATCAACAACCTGGATGAGGTATTAGAGTGCACTGTCAG